TGCCGGTCGCACAGGTAATGGCCTCCCAGGACAGGCACCAGTAGGTTCAGCCACTCATTTCTCCTGTTGAACTGGGTGTCCCAACTGTCAGACTGCCCCCTTTTCTTCCCCTTTCCTGCTGCCCCCACTGCCCTCCTGCCAGCTGCTGCCACAGTGTAGAAAGGAATTAAATCTGAAATGTCTGTGATCCTCTTTACTGGCAATCCCCCAGCCCTCTGTGATACCCGAGCATTTGTCAAAGGTTCTGCCTTTAGTTCATACAATATAAAACCAATATATAATACAAAACAACATAAAAATTGTTTTAAAGAAATGAGAGTAGCTCCATCAACTGGTTATTTGCTCTGATAGTGCCCAGAGAGGGCTGTTTGCATTATTTTGATGTCACAAAAGCACAGACTCTCAAAGCAAATAGCCTCACAATTTCTCCCCAGATCCATTTTTTCCCATTAAAAAAACTCACCCAGCAAGGAAGAGAAATGGGAATGCAGAGCGGAGACTAGTAATTCCAAAGTGCCTACCAGGTGACAGGCACTTGATTTAAAAACTTGTAGCTTGGGGACTTCCCTGGGGGTCCAGTGGTTAGTACTTCACCTTCCAACGCAGGGGGTGCGGGTTCGATCCCTGGTCGGGGAGCTAAGATCCCACATGCCTCACGGCCAAAAAACCAAAACATAAAACAGAAGCAAAATTGTAACAAATTCAATAAAGACTTTAAAAATGGTCCACATCAAAAAAAAAAAAAAAAAACTTAAAAAATTTGTTGCTTTCTAATCATTAGAAATTATTAGAAATAATTAGAAATGATAATTAGAAATTATTAGCCCTATACCATAGATGAAGAAACTGGGGCTCTATGAGTTTACGTACCTCGCTCGGTGGTACTAAGAGACAGAACTGCTATCCCAATACTGCTTGCTTGCTTCCTTTTTTTGGCCGCGCCTTGTGGCTTGTGGGGGATCTTAGTTCCCCAGCCAGGGGTCGAAGTTGGGCCACAGCAGCAAAAGTGCCGAGTCCTAGCCACTCGACCGCCAGGGAATTCCCTATACTGCTTTCTTGAAAGGATAAAAGGAGAGGTAGAGTGCATGACATTCTTTAATAAGTCTCTCTTGATTGTGTTGGGGACCCTAACATCAGGCATGGGCCCTGGTGCATATTTCGTGGAACTGAACTGGCTTAAGTGCCTGCCCTTGGCATGACTAAGTTGGATACCCAAAAGTGGGCTGCAGAGTTCCTTTTGGCTGACACTGAAATTCTAGATAAAGCTCAGTGTGTGATGCAGTTGCCTCTGGACCATGAGGATTCCAAGTGCCATTGCTATGGAGGCTGCACGGTGTGAACTGGTCTGCACTGGCCCGTTTAGCACTTCCATTTCCCTGCATGGTTGCTCAGGGTTACCCTTTTCAATAGCCCTAGTTAGAATTTTCCTTCCGGTGGTTCCTTAACCTCCATTACTTATTTCCCTTTTTCCTCTTTTCCTCTGCAGAGGCTTAGGGGAGAGCTTGGGGACTTCTTTGTTGGCTGCATCTTCATGGCAGAACTGAGTACTCCGTTTGTGTCGCTGGGCAGAGTTCTGATTCAGGCACGTATGAAAGGAGTGGCAGAAAGAGTGCCGAGGGAACAGACTCTGCTTCTCCTTGGTAGATTAAGAGGGTTTGGAGAAACTTCTTTAGTGCTACCAATAGTGGGGTAGGAGACCCTTGAACAGACTTAAAGGTCAGTTGGTCTTTTGAGCCAGTGGGATTGAAAAATTGTACATTTGATTCAAATTTGATCCAGTTCTTCATATATATTTTTCCTGGTCACAGAGTTTCTCTAACCCACCGTTCCTGTGCTCCTGTCAGCTGGGTGGCTTAGATCAAATTTCACATCACTGTTGGAAACAATATGAGGCTCTCTGCATATAGAAATACGGCAGTGCTCAATCATCTTTTCTAGAAGTGTCCGAAAAGGAGACGCTTGGCCTGTCCGTTGTGGGACTCAGGCTAGTCATTCCCTGAAAGTGACCCTGTGCTCTCCTTCCCTCTTTTGCAGCTAAAGCAGCAGCACACGCTGCTGTACAAGGTGAACGGAATCCTCACGCTGACCACCTTCTTCTCATGTCGGATCCTCCTTTTCCCCTTCATGTACTGGTCCTACGGCCAGCAGCAGGGACTGAGCCTGCTCCAAGTGCCGTTCCACATTCCTTTCTACTGCAATGTGGCCAACGCCTTCCTCATCGCTCCCCAGATCTACTGGTTCTCTCTGCTGTGCAAGAAGGCAGTCCGGCTCTTTGATGCTCCCCCAGCCAAAAAGGATGGTTAATTGCTCCATGAGCCAGGCAGTGAGGGCGCCTCCTCCACTCAGTATTCCCGTGGACCAAACTGCAGGTTGTGCCCTGGGTGGCCTCAGCCTTTTGGGTATTGATAAGCAGAGGGATTAGAGTTTCTCTAAAGAATATTCCTATCACCTCCCGTTTCTAACCTGCCCCTTTTGCAAAAGCACTTTTTCCTTAGTAACAACTATTGGGTCCCGTCAGACCTCCACTGGCAGCAAGATGGTTTAATGTGAAGCCCAAGGATCCTTCCTTGGGTCTTATCTCAAGGGCTCTGGAGGTAGAAGCATGGGGTGTGGAGATAGGTGGACCAAGGTGACAAGGAACTGGGCACCTGCCTGGTCCTCATACTGGTGGCTCCCCACCTTTCCAGCCACTCAGGGAGTATCCACACATACTGGGCCAGCAGAAGCAAGTGATGACTTGGTTCTTTTCCTGTGATGTTGGCCTGGGAAAATCGTTGTGGGTAGGTAGTTTTTTTATTGTTTACTAGATAACCCGTAGGTCCTTTGCCTCATCCTTTCATCCATGTGCCAACATTGAATTCTCCTGTCTACCGACTTCTGATCAGAAGTCTCACTGGCGGGGTGGGGTAGATGGCAGGGACGGGAACCTGAAGCACCTGAGTAGGTAGGAAGGCCAATAGGTCAGCACCTCTGCAGGCTGACTGGGTTAGACCAACAGTCCCAGATACTATTCCCTTTTTAGCATGTCCCTCAAGCCCAGCTTTCCCCATATCCACACACACAGGATGCTCTTATTAAAAACTATAGGGGTAAAGTGAAATGATGGCTACCGAGCTATTCACTGGGTAACCCCGCTTTGACACTGTCCTTATCCTGTGAAGCAGAACGGACTGCTGTATTCCAAACCATGAGATGTCTCATCTAGACTGCCTCCTGATAAGCCAGAGCTTGTGGCCCAAAGTCTGTTCCTATCTGACTTACTGCCATTTAGCCACAGAAGGCTGGAGAGCAAAAGTGCAAGTCAGCCCTGGCCAAATTATGTTCTGTGGACTGACTCCTTCACCCACCATTTACAGATAGGATCCTCTGGTGCCAACACTAATTGCTCCTGAACGACAAGGATGGGTTTTAGAAACTGCTACCATGAAGTTTTTTCCCAAGCAGTAGTGAAAAACTAGATTTTTAAAAGTGCCTTTTAATTCACTGTTGTCTGTGAACTTTTAAAGTACTGAGTGTGTAACAGTGTCTCAAATTTTGACTATTTCAGTCTTTAATGGGTGCCATTTAAAAAACATAAAATGCTGTAATTTTTTTTTTACCGTTTTGTTTACTATCCGTATATCTTTATAAATCACCCCTGTGGTGACTAAGTTGCACTAATATTTTCCAACTTATTCTCATTTGTGAAATATATCCACGCCGACTTCTGGTAAGACCTGTCCTGTGACCAACTTGAATGGCTGCTGTGTGCTATTGTTTCTGTTCTGTGTTCTTCTCCGTGTAACTGGCAGAGGTGGGCTGTTGCAGGGGAAGGGGGTGTGTGAATGCCTTCAGCCTCCAGCAGAGCCTAGCTCATACCTCACTCTAACATGTTTCTGTAATTCACGGTGCCAAGAGTACATTGCAGAGTTCTAGAGTTCTAGCCCAGTGGTCACGTAACTTTAGGCCCTTTCTTCTCTTCCCAGGTGAATCCCAACTAGGAGTCAGGAGGGTGGAAACCCAATTGTAGGCCGCAGACAGAGCCAGCCCACTTTAGGTGCGGGGGGAGGGAACTTGAATACTGCCTCACTGTGATGGGGGGTATGGAGCTGTCCTTCCTTGCCTCCCAATTAAACACTTCACTAACGAGTCCTCATGGTTCTGGAATATATCCTGGGCACGCATTTGCACACACCATTCCCTGCTCCCACATGTTCTTCAAAACCGTGACAACCGGGACTTCCCTGGTGGTGCAGTGGTTAAGACGCCACGCTCCCAGTGCAGGGGGCCAGGGTTCGATCCCTGGCCAGGGAACTAGATCCCAAATGCATGTCGCAACTGAGTTCGCATGCCGCAACTAAAACAGCTGGCGAGTCACGACTAAGGAGCCCATGAGCCACAACTAAGGAGCCCACTTGCCACACTAAGACCTGATAGATAGATAAATAAAACAAACAGAAAAACCAACCAACCAACCAACCCATGACAACCCACCCCAGGCAGAAGATAATTACACCCGTCCTTTAAGCACGTCTCTGTGGTGATTACCACAGTATCAGCACAGCCCCTTTGAGATCCACTGAATGGACAGAGCTAACACTGTGGGGCAGAAGTCCTCGATTCAGAAGAGACCCATTTTCCTGAGGTCACTGACCTCCCTCCCACCCACCCAACATTTCATGTTCTTGGTCCAACCGTCTCCTTTTACACTGGTTGCAGGCCTTGTGCGCACACAAATCACATGGCCAATTGGTAGCAGAAAAGAGTCCCTTTCCTAGTTCCTGCCCTTTCCAAGGTACGGCGAAATGACTCTAAAGAGAGTTTCAGTGCAACAGAACACACGTACCTTGTTGTTAGTCCAGCCGGGTGGTTTCACCTTTACTTATTTGCCAGATACTAGGGTGGAGAAGCCCAGTGATGAACACGCTCCTCCCAGCTTGACTTGATCTTCACAACTGGCTGCGCCCAGTTTCAGAGTGTACTGAGGAGCCTAGACTGTTGATAAGAAAGTCTCAAAAGAGGCAAGACAGAACTCAAAAGAGAATTTTATTACAATTTGTATGTTACAAATACCTAAGAAACTATTTTCTTTACAATGTCGTCAGATTTTTGGGCTTGTGTACAATTTCACATAACCGAAAAATTTGTGTTTTTCAGCTGTAGCCCCCGTAGACCTGGCCAAGTTGAGGCCCAGCTGTTTTCTGACCCACGAAGGTCAGAAGTTGCTGATCTTCTGCAGGAGGGTTTGGCGCCGCTCCTCGGGGCTAATGTTCTCGGCGATGGACTTTAAGAAGTGCTGCTCGTTTACTTTCTGGAGCAAGGAGCTGACAGAAGGGTTGGTCTTGCTCAGGGTTTCGTAGCAGGTGAGGATCTCCAAGGCCAAAACATACAGTGGTTCACACACCTCCTGGTGGAGCATGGCCATGATGTGCAGAACGTGACAGAACACCTGGGTGTAAAAAAACAGGGTTTCCTGGGTCAGGTCCTGCTCTTGTCCTTGGGCCCAAGGGCCAACTGACTGTATCAACCGAACAGAGTCCAGGAGGTCGGTCAGGCTGTTGCACAGGAGCTTGACCACATGGCTCCAGCCTTCCACAGGGAGCCAGTTATGGCAACTCTGGCTGCAGAGAAACTGGAAAGCCCTCAGCAAGAGCACGGAGAGTTGGAGCTCCTGGGCAAAGGGCTTCAGGTTGAGAAGAGGGACAAACTGAATATACTCCAGGCTGTAGGGGACATGCAGGAGCTGCTTCTCCAACAGTCTCCTGGTCAGCTGGTGAAGGCACTGCCACTCCTGGGGGCTGCACCACGGCATGACCTGCACCAGGGCCACCAGGAAGCCCTTGCTGAACAACCTGACCTCCTCAGGGTTGCCCACATCCACCACCAGCAGGGCGAGCATCTGCTCAGAGATGCTGCTGGAGATGCAGGAGCACTCCATCCAGGCCAGGAGGCCTGTGCCGGGCCCATACCTGGGGTGGGCCTGGCAGGTCCACTTGTCCTCAGAAAGCTTACAGATCTCAAAGAGCGTGGCTGGCACCTCACACTTGAAGTGGCCCTCAAAGAAGCTCTTCAGTCTCAGGCCCACAGTCCAGTCCAGCTGCTCCAGCTTCCAGTGGAGCCAGGACAGGGACTTGACCCAGGTGTCCGGGCAGAAGGTCTCGGCGTTAGCCGACACCACCTCACAGAGGAGCTCCAGGATGTGGATCACCAGGTCCTTCCCGTCCAGGGGGAGGCAGCGCTTCTCCTTGGGGAGCTGCCAGTATCTGCTGAAGCCATTCAGGAGCTGGCACAGGCTGAAGATGAGTGGGAACGGAGAGCAGGTCTGCAGCCAGTATTCCTCTAGACATGTGTTTGCTTCCAGAGTCTGGATGAAGATCCTCAGACTGAGGTCCACCTCTTTGACGTCGAGCGTCAGGAAAGGCAGGACGAATTCCTTTAGCACCTCATCTGGCTTGAGAAGAGCAGCAACTGGAATCCCTTGGGGCTTCACAGGATTCACCAGGCATCTCAGGAACTCCAGAAACTGCTTCTCTTCCCTGGGTGTAGAGAACTTCGTCCAGACTGTTTCTTTGAGGCAGGACACCACGATCGTCGTGGAGGGATTTGGACCCTGCTCTTCTGCGAACCTGAGGGCGGGGAAGGCGGTGAGAATCTGAGCCAGGAACCTGTGGGTGCCAAGGTTGACCACGGCCATGCTGCACACTTTCTTCACCGTGATCTCCGGGTGCAGAATGACTAGGCGGGCCACAGAAGCGATGGCGTTAGCCAAGCCCTGTTCAGAAGCGCTCTGCGTGAGCTGGTTAAAAGTCGTGTTGAGGTCTTCCTGAAACCCCTCCAAGTGACCCAACAACCTCTCAGAGAGGCCCTTGCGCCCCCAGGAGAGCAGGACGCCCGAGAGGACTTTATTTTTATCTGGCAGTGAGAGGTGTGCATGACACTCCAGGATCAAGTCGATGACCTGTTTGATCTGGGGTCTGGGGACAGCCCCGTCTGCCGCGCTGACGTCCACCACTGCTTCCAGCAGCTCTAACACCAGGCCGGGCTCCTGGAAGACAGCCCGGCTGCTGGCCAGGCAGGCCAGCCACTCATCCGAGAAGGCCCACTTCCTCTCAGAAGCGAAAATGTAGCACATTTCCATGTGCCGGTCCAACTTCTGCTCGATGATGGCCATGACGATGGAGGCAGTGATGTCCTTCTCGAAGCCCTTGTTCTTCAGCACCCTGTTCGTGTCCTTCAGGAAGTCACCCACGCACTCCGCCAGCTCAGAGGCCACCTGCCTCTCTTCCTTGGACAGGCTAGCGGCGTCCAGGTAGAGCTTCAGGTTCTGGCTGAAGGAGGTCAGGCTGTCGCACAGCCGGTAGCTGCTGTAGCTCGTCCCCTGGCTGCCACCGAGCGTGGCCCGCAGCTCCTCCCACCACTCCCGCAGCAGGCTGCGCAGAAACTCGAACCCCATGAGGATCGTCTCGCTCGGCAGCCTGGCCAGTGAGGTCAGGCTGATGTCCCTCTCTGCCTCCTTCACCTTCTCTGCCAGTGCATGCTGGTGATATGGGTTCTGGGTGTCCGTGTTCCACATGGAGATCACCGTGGCCAGTTTGTCTAGATACACAGTGGCAGACACTTCCTGGGGGTTGTCCTCCATCAGTGCAAACACGGTCAGCATGTCAGCCAAGTTGGCCAAGGCACAACACTTCATCCCGGGGCACAGGATCCTATCCTGGATTTGCTTCAGCCCAGTGAGCAGCATGCCCAGCAGGGGCATGGTAGGACACACATCCGGGTCGGACTTAAACCTCTTTGGAGGGTGGGAGAACTCATCTGAAGAGGACAGGTACTTATGGGCCACTGTCCGGAACTGGGAGAGCAGGGGGTCCTGCTGATTGCCCTTGTGCTTCATCATTTCCCACCAAACGTCGAGGAAGAAGGCCACATCCTTCGAAGAAGTGTTGATAGTCATGTGCTCCAAAAAGCGCTCTAGTTCTGCACGGCAGACAGTAGCGGGCAAGGCCATCAGGAGCTGGATAAAGAGTCCAGAAGCTTCCAGGGACTTAAGCAGCTCAAAGAGGACCGTGTGATTGATGGCGGGGATCATGTTGCCCACGGAGAAGAACACATCTTCCTGCCACAGGGTTTCAGTGTCAGAAGGCGTGACAGGGTAGGGCTGCAGAGCCTTGGCCCAGATGATAATCAGAGCTTTCTTCTTCCAGGCGAAGGGCTGGGAGCAGGCCGTGGCAGAGGAGATCTCCCTCAGAGCCTCCACAATCGGCCGCCCAACATGCTCCCAGTCAGACTTGGTCAATTCTGCCAGTGTTTTGGGGCGGAACAGCTGCTCGGCCAGCAAGAAGCCCCCATGCAGAACAGTCATTTCTTCACAGATATTCAAAGGTCCTGCACAGACAGAAGTCCAATAGGATAGAATGTGGTGAAAAATTTTCAGAACAGCAAGCAGAGGTTAGAGGGAGAGGCAGCAGTTGGTCAGCGGGCTGTCATTATTAGGGTTAGAGATGAAAAGGGTTCTGAATAAAATCAGTGGGAGGGGGGAAGAAGGGATGGTTCTAGGACCCACTGCAGAGCTGAAGTCAAAGGATTAACCTGAGGAATAAAAAAGGACTCCCAAGCTCTCTAGCCTGGACCTGGGAAGACAACGGGCACTACTGCAAACAGGGAACACGAGAGATGTGCTTGGAAGGAACACTGATACGTTTTGGTCATTTGGAGTTTGAGGTAGAACATTAAGGTAGAAACGTCCTCCAGCAATGGAAACACAGGGCTGAAGCTCAGGAGGAAAGTCAACCTTGAAATGTGACTCAGGAAGGAGCCTGCACAGAGGCAAGGCCCTCCAGCAAAGGATGGGCCAGCAGAAGATTTGGGGAAGAAGGGCTGGCTGAGAGAGAGAAAGAGAGAGAGCGCAAGGACAGTACCAAACTACAGCGGCCACCAAGTACATACTGCAGGACTTGACAACTGAGCTTCTAAGTACCGATACAGACTAGGAAGGGCGTGGACCAGGACTGTCTGCACAGCAGCACTCAGACAAGCCCTGCTTCTCTTTTTTCTCTTAAAGCCTTGTCTTGGAAACAGATTTCAAACGTTCTGCCTTTTGGGGAAACAGTTCAATTCCCACAGCTCTTTCCATCAAAGAGAATAAGCTACTAATGGTCCTGGTTCTCTGGTAGAAGCCAAGAAGTAGATAGAAAAAAATACTGTACTAGATTCAGAAAAGTCCTTCTTCAGTGAGCCCTGAGTTGACACAGACTTAGCAAGGAAGGCATCTTGGGATGTTTAATTAGACATGGGTTTAACTCCTAGCTCAGCCATTTAAAAGTGGTGTGGGCTTCCCTGGTGGCGCAGTGGTTGAGAGTCCGCCTGCTGATGCAGGGGACACGGGTTCGTGCCCCGGTCCGGGAAGATCCCACATGCCGTGGAGCGGCTGGGCCCGTGAGCCATGGCCGCTGAGCCTGCACATCCGGAGCCTGTGCTCCGCAACGGGAGAGGCCACGGGAGAGGCCACAACAGTTAGAGGCCCGCGTACCGGTGGGGGGGGGGGGGAAGTGGTGTGATCTTGGACAGATTACTTCTCTGAACTTCTGCATATGTGGGGATAATACAGACTTCACATTATGACCCTGAGGATCAAATAATACAGTCAAGCCCCTGGCATTGGGTCCACACCCACTGTTGGCTCCCAATCCCATCTTCCAGGGCTGTTGAGGGTTAGGTAAGATATATACAATTAAGAATCAGGCTACAGGGCTTCCCTGGTGGCGCAGTGGTTGAGAGTCCGCCTGCCGATGCAGGGGACGCGGGTTCGTGCCCCGGTCCGGGAGGATCCCACGTGCCACGGAGCGGCTAGGCCCGTGAGCCATGGCTGCTGAGCCTGCACGTCCGGAGCCTGTGCTCCGCAACGGGAGAGGCCACAACAGTGAGAGGCCCGCGTACTGCAAAAAAAGAATCAGGCTACAAAGAGCCTAAGTGCTCGATAAACGCTGGTTCTCCCAAACCTTTCCACTGTTGCCAGGACCAGAATCTTGCCCCTATTCTTTGCCTCCTCCAGCTCAGAAACAGGACATGTCTTTCTCAGGTATACTTCCTTTGGCCCAGAAACTAAATCATCGTACAAACATTGCTCACTCTTCAATGTTCCTGACCCCTCTCCCCTTTCCCAGGGCCCCTTCCTCAGTCCCTCAGGCCCCCAAGAACACAGCTTCCCCATTTTCATGGGCCAGGAGACTATCCTGCCCCTTGCATCTGGAACAGCACTCCTATGCAACCCACTGGTGAAGGCAATCCATCTTGGTGCCCAGTGGCTGAGGCAGACTCCCAGGAAGAGCCAGGTTGCTGAGAGGTCTCCCTGGGGGTTCTGGCCTTTCTTTCTGGTTCAGGCTGCTCTCCCAGGGCCCCCCAAAAGGCTCCCTTCTGACTCTGTAAATTTAATTTTATTGCTCTATCTGCTCAGCTGAGATGTTTGGCCCCCAAGACCCACCTTCCAGAGACGGTAAGTATATACTCATGCCACCTGAAGGAGTAAGTCCCAGAAGCAGTTAATGGCTGGGCGAATCCCAAGTGTTTTATCACGAATGGTTAACTGGCGCTTGTGAGTGCCCGCTCCTTATGTTTAAGCGCTTACTCTGTACCAGGCACTGTGCTAGTTGGTATGTGTATCTTTTCATCATCAGATCAACATTTTGAGAACCATTACTGTTTTAGAGATGGAAACATTAAGACTCAAACAATTTGCTCAGGTTGTCGGAACTGCAAAGCAGTGGGCTGGGACAGAGATCACCACAGCTGCAGGGCTCCAAACTCTTCCACCTTTAACTTTCCACCACGGAAGAGATGGCTGGGGACAGGGACCAGAACATTTCTCAACAGCCTACTAATACTGGCACATTTTGGGGAGCCTCACCCCAGCTGTCCCAGAACAGCCTCTTGGTCTTATGCCCTTAAGAGCACATCCAGCAGCGGGGGAGGCTGGGCAAGGAGCCGCCGATTTATACCAGCTCTCCCCTCCCTTCTCCCAGACCTGGCATCTGGAGAATCAAGACGCACGTTGCCGCCTCGGCTGCTGCAACCCGTGCCCACAACTGCTGGTCTGAAGAACGCTAGCCCTGCGCAAGGCACCGGACTCGACACTGTACACACGTGATCTCAGTGAAAACTCCCCCAAACTCTGTGAGGCTGGTACGGTATCATCATCCCCGTTTATCCACGAGGACCTCAAGAGCGTCAGACGCTTGCTCAAGAACTTAGTAGACGTTCAATAAATGAGATCGTTGGGGATACGGGATTCCCCGGGGCGCCGCCGGAGCCCGGCCTTTTCCAAAGCATGTGCCCGAACCTGTCCACTCTCGCGAACGCTAACTTCACATCCGCTGGCCCCTTCACGTGGAAAGGGGCCTGGAGCCGGCAAGAGGCGAGCGGAAGAGCGGCGGGTAGAGCCCGGCCCCCCAACCTCCGGTCTCCAGGACACCCCCGCCCTCCCAACCCCCTCCCCGGCCCGGAGGTCTCCCTCAGCCCGGGCCCACTCAGCACTGCCTGGTCGCCGGTTGCTCAACGCGGCCCACGCGGGCCCAGAGGAACCGAACACCCACCTAGATCCATGGCGGCGACGCTGGCTGCGGCGCGGGTCGCCCCTCCCCCGCCAGGCCGCGAGGGCGGCGCAAGCGTCACGGCACAATGGGCGGCCCCGGGGGGCGGGACAATGGGCGGCGCCTCGGCCCCCGCCCGCAGTCTCAGCTCGGGCTCTGCGCGGACCCCGGCATATGTCCGCCGCTCCGCGCGCACGCGCGGTCCCACCTAAGCGCCCGCGGCATCGGGGCCGCCAGGCCCACAGCTCCCCCTATCGGCCCGAGGCCTCCAACTAGGCAACAGGCAGGTACCCGCGCCTCCATCCCACGGCGTGCCCCTCCCCGCTCTACCCGGGGCCCGGCCCCCAAACGACCGCCCCCTCCCAGCCCAGGCTCCGCTCGGCCGCGCGTCTCTGCAGTTCCCTACTTCCTGGGCCCCAGTCTGTCCTACCTATAGCTCCATCCCTGGCCCCGCATTCTCCCGCACCCAGTAATCCCCAGATTCCTCACACCCTCGCCACAGTTCACCCTCACTGAATGCCCCTACCCAGGCTGCCCACTAACCCGCATGGACTCACCACTCCCTGAGAGGCTTCCTCCCCCGCAGCGGGTCTCTTCCCATCAACTCTTATCATAAATTTCAGTGGCCGACGGGGAGTCCTCCTGGAAACTCTCCGACTCACAAGGACATTGTGGGACAGGTGAGATGGGCAGAAAGTCATATTAAGGAGCACTAAATGTCCCTGGCTTTGCTAATTCCATTCAGACGTCAGACACACATGGATTTCATACTAACTTTACAGGCTAACCTAGGAGAACTCCACAACACAGCCATTCTAAATCTCTCTGGATTTAAACTCAAGAGATATTTGAACTTCAACTTAATATGCTAGGACCACAACCCCTCAAGTCGAAAAATAAAATGACTACTCTGAAAACACAACTCTGGAGAAACTGAGGAACTTCCCAACTTCATCTGTTTAAAAACACCAGCTTGGGCAAAACTATCTTTAAACCTTGTTTTGTAGCTGATTATACCATTCCCATAGATGGGAAAGTAGTAACTTTTGGTTTAAAATTACTAGCTGCCCTGTGCAGAGGTAAACTTTTGGATTGCTTGATAAAAGGCCAAAGTGGTACAGTAAATGGTTTTAGGATGAATAAAATATTAAAGACTGCAACAAAGGAAAAATGACAGGCAATGAGAGAAATAAAAGGAGGCTGATATCATGAAGCTAAAATGTCCCAGGTAGATAAACAGCATTCAGTTCTCTCATGCATAGCTGTACATTTAAGAGAAAAAATTGGGGGTATGTTACAACATAAGATAAACAGATAAAGAGGAATCTGCCATGTGTTTAGTACTTACATAAACCACTTATTTTACTATAACAAACTTAGAAGGCCACATCAGGGACTTCCCTGGCAGTCCAGTGGTTAAGACTCCACCTTGCAATGCAGGGGGTGTGTGTTCGATCCCCGGTCAGGGAACTAAGATCCCACATGCTGTGCAGCGCAGCCAAAAAAAAAGAAAGGCCACATCACAACAGCCTAATACACTGGGAGAAGTATAGTTTCTTTTCAGGAGAACAGTATTACCAGAGATAAACATCAAGAATTAATAATCTAATTATTAATTAATTAGAAAATCTGAGAATTAACAAATCATAGTCTAAAGAAGACAGAGGCATTTACTTGATTATTCAAAATTCATATAATAATTTCCCCATGCATAGGAAAAAAAAAAGTGAACCAACTGTCAACAGGAGGAACATAGCTTGATTTGCTTTGAAACTCACAATTGCTTCCCTAAGATAGAGAATTTAAGTGGAATGAAAAGTGCTGTGGAGCTGGGAAATAATATTTTCCTCTCAGTGAAGGTTAAGATAGCCCTATCAGAAGGTGAGCTGAAACTCACTCTGAAATTTCCATACCCTACCCTGCCAGCAAGGGAGAACAGCAGAGGCTATGATTTACAAGTAATTTCATGTATATTGTACAGGAACAGATATCTTCTGAGTCAATCCTTTCCAATCTCATCAGTTTCTTCCCTATAGTTTGAACCTGGCAACGACTTTAAATAATGAGTCTTACAGGTTGGTTGTAACAGCTTGATTTCAGAAGCATAATTTCAAAAAACATTTCATAATAACTATGCCCAACATAATTCTATTTCCAGTGATTAAAACTGATTTGTTCTGCAGAATCAAATAGAAAACAAGAAAATATTTTTAAAAAGTTTTTCATGCTGAAGAAATCATCTAATCCATCACTAAGAAATCTAACATGGTCTCTTCTTACGAGGATTAAAAGAAAAAAATATAGAGCGAGAGAGAGGGAGAGAAACTAGCGCAGAGCCAGGCGTGTAGCAACATTAATACATTAGATCCTTTTGTCTGTTTTCTCTGGCTACTCAAAAATTTAAAGCAAAAAATGTGGGAACGTTAACCAAGTCTTTTGGTTCAAGGCACAAAATTTCTTTAAAAGTTTTTATTGGTCAAGGCCTGCCAGAGTTAAGACATTAGAACAGCATACTGTCACCAGGTACTAGAAGTACTCCTGCTGTAAGCAATTGATTTGGGTTTATTTGTTCTCATTAAATCTACATACTTATCAAAATTCCCTCCATTCCCAACCAAAGGTCCTGTTCAATACAGCTGTCCCAGGCTGCAGAAGAACTGACTACTAATGTTAATACAGTTACACAAAAAATGTACCCTTCCAGGGATGGCACAGATGACAGCAAGAGCTCTCCTCTAGATGGACTGATAATGATAGGATTTTCTCTCTAAGATATATCAGAGCTCTCAAAGATAAAAATACACAAATCTTCACCACCCAGCCTCTCTGCCTATACAGGAAACCACCAAGTTGTGAGAACATTTGTCACATAATGCACACATCAGGCCTCACAGGTGTTCGACAGGAATCACTAATGCTTGTTCCACGTGATGTCTTCCGTTAACCTGAAGCCTTTGGTTTATTTTGTGCAGCAAACCATTCATCACTTTTATCTTTTGCCATTGCCTATAGAAACAGAATTGGAATATTTATTTATTCTCAATCCATAAAATAAAACACATAGTCTACTTCATACCTCACTGCACTGCCCACAATCAAGAAATTAACAATTAAAAGATGTTCAGGGACTTCTATGGCACAGTGGTTAAGAATCCGCCTGCTAACGCAGGGAACACGGGTTCGAGCCCTGGCCCGGGAAGATCCCACATGCCGCGGAGCAAATAAGCCCATGCGCTACAACTACTGAGCCTGCCCTCTAGAGCCTACGTGCCACAACTACTGAAGCCTACGTGCCTAGAGTCTGCTCTGCAACAGGAGAAGCCACCGCAATGAGAAGCCCACGCACCGCAACGAAGAGTAGCCCCCGCTCACTGCAACTAGAGAAAGCCCGGGCACAGCAACAAAGACCCAACGCAGCCAAAAAATAAATTAATTAATTAACTAAAAAAAGAAGAAAAAATGTTCATTCAATATAGAGTCTTGTGTTTACTTTGACAGAGGATGCTGATGGGTATCAAGCAATCGCTTGTTAGTTCTCATTTTGCAGAGTAAAGGGCAGAGCCTGCAGCCGGAAAGTGTAGCTGACGCTGCCTGGAGAGCAGGCCAAGCACACCCCGCTGTGGGCTCTTTGGAACAGAAAGTGCTGTCATTCTCAGAGTCTGGGTGGGCTCTCAAGAATCTTTAGTGCTCAGGAGACTCAGTCTAATGATGAGACCAAATGTGAAACGCTATTTTGACGTCTTAGCAATGAGCCTGGAATGATTTCCTTTTTCCACGCCTCCTCCCACACCATTCCGCTGATGTTGGTACTGTTTGGTTTGGAACCTCTTAATTAAAAAAGAAGCCTTGTTAATAACAATATGTTTTGGTTCCACCAGAGTCCTTTTACCCTATCATTCCATGAGGTTGAGGTCATAGAAAGGGGCTTGTGGGCAGGGAGGGCAGGGGAGCCCAGCTTAAAACTGGAGTCTCTTTTTAAAAAATTTTATTTATTTACTTATTTAGGCTGCTCTGGGTCTTCATTGCTGCGCAGGGGCTTTCTCTAGTTGTGGTGAGCGAGGGCTACTCTTCGTTGCGGTGCGCCGGCTTCTCATTGCGGAGCACGAGCTCTAAGCACACGGGCTTCAGTAGTTGTGGCACATGGGCTCAGCAGTTGTGGCGCACGGGCTCAGTAGTTGTGGCACATGGGCTCAGCAGTTGTGGCTTGTGGGCTGCAGAGTGCAGGCTCAGTAGTTGTAGTGCATGGGCTTAGTTGCTCCCCGGCACGTGGGATCTTCCCGGACCCAGGGCTCAAACGCGTGTCCCCTGCACTGGCAGGTGGATTCTTAACCACTGAGCCACCAGGGAAGCCCCTAAACCGTTTTTTAAATTATTGGATTGATGCTTTGAGAGCTAGTGCTAGCAACAGGGATTGACTGGAAGGTGGGAGGAGGCTTTTGCAGTATTGCAGGTGAAAATGAGAGCTTTTTCAAAAGGGAAGTAGATAGACAAAGGATTTCAGAGGTAGAACTCACAGTTCTTGGTGACTAATTGCTAATAGAATGTAGGAGTGAGGAGAAACAGTATTCAAAAACGGCTCTGTTTGTAAATCTAAAACTATTCTAAAATAAAAAGCATATTAAATGTTAAAAGAAAAACTGGCTCTGAGGATTCTAGCTTAAACAATTGTGATAACAAATATATAGTGCTATTCAGGGGCGGGAGCAGAGTATAGAAGGAAAAAAGAACTGGCTTTGAAACTTGAAAGACCTCAGTTTGAGCCCTTGCCTGCCACTTACTGAATGTATAATATTGGGTGACTTACTCTTTTGAGCCTCAGTTTCTTCATCTGAAAAGGGAATGCTATCCACCTTGTAGATTATGGTAAGAGTTGCAGAATATACATAAGGCACTTAAGAACATGTCAGTATAGGAGATGCTTAATAAATAGTAATTTTTATTTTTCTATTATACTAATGAAGACTGGATTTGAAGTAGGATAAATTAAGTTATAGGCATGTGGAGTTGAAATGTCCATGGTCTATCCAGGTAAAAAGTTTCTCTGGCTATAACACTAGTCTGACAAAAAAAGCATTAAGCATAAAAGAAAAAGTTGATAAACTGGACTTAGAGAAATGTCTGTTCTTCAAAAGCCTATATTAAGAAAACAGTCAAGCCATTGAATGGGGAAAGTACTTGCATTTGCAGATTATCTAACAAATGACTCGTATCCAGAACTCCAACACAACAACAAGAAAGAGAAAAACAGTCAAAAAATTTTAAAACAGGAATTTAAATGGGCCTTGAAATATAAGCAAATATTCAAATGAGAGAAGGGACATTCTAGGAGAATAAAATAATGTGAGCAAAGACACAGAGAGTGAAAATAAATTTATATTTAGAGGTTAGAGAATGGCTAAAATGTGAAATAGATCAGTGGTGTGTCTTCCAATTAGTTTGTCATGAAACTCAATGGATCAGATAAATTATTCTGTATTGATATAGTCCAATTATATTAAAGCTAAATAAAAAATACATAGGGCAGTAAAGAAACAAAAGAAAATACACAGGGCAAACCAACTGTATAAAACCATTTTTTAGGTGGTCAGGGAAATTTTAATAAGAACTGAATTTTAGGTGACATTAAGGATATACTGTTGGGAGTTCCCTGGTGGTGCAGTGGTTAAGAATCCGCCTGCTTACAAAAGGAATAAAATACCTAGGAATAGACCTACCTAAGGAGACAAAAGACCTGTATGCAGAAAACTATAAGACACTGATGAAAGAAATTAAAGATGATACAAACAGATGGAGACATACCATGTTCTCGGATTGGAAGAATCAACATTGTGAAAATAGACTATACTACTCAAAGCAATCTACAGATTCAATGCAATCCCTATCAAACTACCAATGGCATTTTTCACAGAGCTAGAACAAAAAATTTCACAGTTTGTATGGAAACACAAAAGACCCTGAATAGCCAAAGCAATCTTGAGAAAGAAAAACAGAGCTGGAGGAATCAGGCTCCCTGACTTCAGACTATACTACAAAGCTACAGTAATCAAGACAGTATGGTACTGGCACAAAAACAGAAAGATAGATCAATGGAACAGGATAGAAAGCCCAGAGATAAACCCACGCACATATGGTCACCTTATCTTTGATAAAGGAGGCAGGAATGTACAGTGGAGAAAAGACGGCCTCTTCAATAAGTGGTGCTGGGAAAACTGGACAGCTACATGTAAAAGAATGAAATTAGAACACTCCCTAACACCATACACAAAAATAAACTCAAAATGGATTAAAGACCTAAATGTAAGGCCAGACACTATAAAACTCTTAGAAAAAAACACAGGCAGAACACTCTATGACATAAATCACAGCAAGATCCTTTTTGACCCACCTCCTTGAGAAATGGAAATAAAAACAAAAATAAACAAATGGGACCTAATGAAACTTAAAAGCTTTTGCAAGGCAAAGGAAGCCATAAACAAGATGAAAAGACAACCCTCAGAATGGGAGAAAATATTTGCAAACAAAGCAATGGACAAAGGATTAATCTCCAAAATATACAAGCAGCTCATGCAGCTCAATATCAAAAAAACAAACAACCCAATCCAAAAATGGGCAGAAGACCTAAACAGACATTTCTCCAAAGAAGATATACAGATTGCCAAGAAACACATGAAAGGATGCTCAACATCACTAATCATTAGAGAAATGCAAATCAAAACTACAATGAGGTATCACCTCACACTGGTCAGAATGGCCATCATCAAAAAAATCTACAAACAATAAATGCTGGAGAGGGTGTGGAGTAAAGGGAACCCTCCTGCACTGTTGGTGGGAATATAAATTGATACAGCCACTATGGAGAACAGTATGGAGGTTTCTCAAAAAACTAAAAATAGAACTACTATACAACCCAGTAATCCCACTACTGGGCATATACCCTGAGAAAACCATAACTCAAAAAGAGTCATGTACCACAATGTTCATTGCAGCTCTATTTACAATAGTCAGGACATGGAAGCAAGCTAAGTGTCCATCAACAGATGAATGGATAAAGAAGATATGGCACGTATATACAATGGAATATTACTCAGCCATAAAAAGAAATGAAATTGAGTTATCTGTAGTGAGGTGGATGGACCTACAGACTGTCATACAGAGTGAAGTAAGTCAGAAAGAGAAAAATAAATACTGTATGCTAACACATATATATGGATTCTAAAAAAAAGGGTTCTGAAGAACCTAGGGGCAGGACAGGAATAAAGATGCAGACATAGAGAATGGACTTGAGGACATGGGGAGGGGGAAGGGTAAGGTGGGACAAAGTGAGAGAGTGGCATGGCATATATACACTACCAAATGTAAAATAGATAGCTAGTGGGAAGCAGCCACATAGCGCAGGGAGATCAGCTCGGTGCTTTGTGTCCACCTAGAGGGGTGGGAGGGAGATGCGAGAGGGAGGAGATATGGGATATATGTAAAGCAATTATACTCCAATAAAGATGTTAAAAAAAAAAAGAATCCACCTGCCAATGCAGGGGACACGGGTTGGATCCCTGGTCCAGGAAGATCCCACATGCCGTGGAGCAATTAAACCCGTGCACCACAACTAATGAGCCCATGTGACTAGAGCCCGTGCTCCGCAGCAAGAGAAGCCACAGCAATGAGAAGCCTGCACAGAGCCCACGAGCCACAACTACTGAGCCCGCATGCCTAGAACCCATGCTCCGCAACAAGAGAAGCCACTGTGATGAGAAGCCCACGCACCGCAATGAAGACCCAGCGCAGTCAAATAAATAAATAAGAGGTTGATATAAGGAGGCAATATAACACTGTGTTAGCTGTAAAAAAAAAAAAAAAAAAAGGATATATTGTTGATTTTTAAGATGTGATTATATCAATATTGTATATATGAAAATTCCTTAATTTTTGCTTTTTCTAAAAACTTATTTTTATTGGAGTATAGTTCCTTTACAATGTTGTAATTTTCACTTTTCAAATCATCTTAAAATGTGTAAAATACTTAAGTATTTAGGGTTGAAATGACATGATGTCTGAAATTTGCCTTAAAATTCTCCAACAAATATCCCCACTGCCAAAAAAACAAGTGGGGTGGAAAGGAATGATGAAAAATTATGGCAGAGTTGACTGGTGACAGTCACATAGGGATTTTATACTCTTTTGTGTATATATGGAATTTTAAATCATGAAATATTAAAAATAAAATCTGTTACAGAAAGAAACGGACAAAAGACAACACACAAATGTTGGTGAGGACGCAGAGCAGCTGGAACTCTTCTATACATACATGGCCAATAGTGTAAAGCAGTTCAATCACTTTGGACAACTGTTTGGCAGTTTCTTAGAAAGTAAAAGCAATTCCCCTCCCAGGTATTTATCCAAGAGAAATAAAACACATGTCCACAAGAAAAGTTACGTGAGAATGTTCAGAGCAGTCTTCCTTAAAATAGATAAAAATCTGGAAAAAACTTCAATGTCCACCATTGGAAGAATGGATAAGCAAATTGTTATATTCATAAAATTGAATACCACTCAGCAAAGAAAAAAGAATTCTGGCATGTACTATATTTTGAGTAGTGGTTATACGAGTATATGTAACTGTCAAAAATCATCAAAGTGGACACTAAAATTTCTGTACACTTAAATTCTATGTATATTTTACCACAGTAACAACAATGAAAAATGCTCATTTAGAGCTTAGTGGGGAGTGGGAACTAGAAGTTAGGAAGTTGAGAATGGATGATGGCTGAAGCTCTGCGCAGAGATGACCACAGTAACAGGTAACTTCTACTCAGAGAAGAGAAAGAATGTATAATGAGAGAGTAAAAGACAGCCAAAGTGGGACCGTGGGCAAAATCATTTCAGGATCAGTCACAGAAAAAGATGCCTGTGGCTGAGGGGAAGCTGTCAGAGAGATAGGAAGATGGCAGGATCCCCAACGTCAAGGGAGAAGAGAGCTCAAAAGAGGAGGAAGTTGGGGACTTCCCTAGTGACGCAGTGGATAAGACTCCGTGCTCCCAATGCAGGGGGCTCAGGTTCGATTCCTGGTCAGGGAACTAGATCCCACACGCATGCCACAACTAAGGAGCCCACGTACTGCAACTAAGCAGCCCACAGGCCACAACGCAACTAAGGAGGCTGCGAGCCACAACTAAGGATACCGCCTGCTGCAACTAAGACCCGCACAACCAAATAAATAAATAAATATTTTTTTAAAAAAAAGGAGGAAATTGGTCAGTGATATGAAAGAGCAAGAAGAACAATCTAGCCAATTTGTCAACTAAGAGGTTGCCTGAGATTCTATTTTCCTTTATGGTAAAATTTGTAAACGCTATATTTTTTGTACATTTCCAGCTTTAATGAACAACAATTGAGTGTCCGTTATTATGTCAGCAGTTTGCCAAGCTCTATAAACAACACAACAATCCTATGAGGTGGATAATCTTATTTCCTCAAATTTTTGGATAAAAAACTACAGTTTAGAGACTTGAAGTAAATTTCTTAAGGTCAGTCACATAGATCCTAAGCGACAGAACCAGGACAGATTGATTCATTCCTTTCAGCAGCAGCAGCAGAGTATTCACTGAGTTCCAGCTACATATGAGGTATGTGCTAGAAGCTGGGGTACAACACTGCGTGCTGCTAAAAGATCGTGTTTGATGAGGACAGAAAAACAGTCACTGGATTTGGCAAGAGGAGGTCACCGATGACGTCAATGCGAGCGTCTCACTGCGTGACAGGAGCCAATGCGGAACAGAGTGAAGTGTGAATGGGAGGTAAGAAGTAGAAACGGCGTGTAGGGAGATTTTTTAAAACAAATCTGGAGAAGGGATATGGGGTCAATAAAAGATTTTTAGAAGATACTAGAGTTAGTTTGTATGCTTATGAGAACAATTTGCTAGGAAGGAAGAGAACGATGCTGTAGAGTGGAGAAGAGATGACCAAGGGGCTAAGGTAGTGAGAGGGGGTGGCGTCGGGGCACTTCCGATCACCGAGCAGAACAGTGATGTATTTAGCAGCAGTGGTTCTCCAAGGCAGCCCGAGGTGGAGGGAAGGCACACATACTGCACCCAGGTAAGAGTCACATAGGTGGCAATGAAGTTGACACAAGCCTCTGGCTCAAAAAGTCACCTCAAAAGGACACGGTTCTGAAAGTAAGAACTGGCCCTGATGCTTGGGTCCTTCTTCATACACACTTAACAGCACCCCCTTGAGCTGAAGGTGAGATAAATTTAGAAAAGAGACTCACGTCATCCAATAATTTGCTTCCTTCTGGATCCATCTTAGAGAGTTCTCGAAATGCTTCATCCCCCACAAAGCAAATTTCATGTCCATCCTACACCAAAAGAGAGAAAAGAAATTTGGCAAAAAGACACCTCAGAAGAAAGCCCTGGTGCAGCCTGTCCTGTTCCTAGGTAATACTTACAGGGTCGGCCAAAATGATAACTTGCACTGTTGCTTTCCCTGGAGTGTCCAGACTCACCAGGGGAGTCAGAATCTTCTGGTTCTCCCTTTTCATCAAATCTTCTAAGTCTGACAACTTGAGGAAAACAAAAAAGCAAAGTGAGCAAGGGGTCCCACACCACTCTTGGGCTGTGGTCCTCGAAAGCCCCAGAGGAATCTCAGATCAACCAGAAGACTCTGGCACCACTTGTTTGATTTTATATCTCAGCTGCTCTTGAGACAACTGCTGAACTTGATACCAAAGCCACAATCAACATGAACCTAGAGAAGGGAGGGTCAAGTTTCCTAGCTGTTTGAACTAGCTAGTCACAGAGTTTAAACAAAAGACCTGGTACCAAACATTACCTCTTTCTGGGGGCAAGAAAAGGCAATTCGTCCAAAAGCTGTTGCATGAACAACTGCCCCTTGGATGCCCTGTAGCTCCAGCTTACACTGAAAAACATGAGAAAGCGGGTTTATTTTTTGGAACAGGTTACGTGGTAAAAGAAAAAAATTCAAACAGGGCTAAAGGAATAAGGCAACCAGTCAGCAGGCATCCACAGGCATATATCCTTTTTTTTTTTACACAAATGGTAGCATAATTTATGCACTATTCTGTCCCTTGTTTTTCTCCAATTAATGTTACCATCTCAGCACATAGAGACTCGCCTCATTCTTTTTGATGGCTGCTTACTAATCCATTCTATGGATGAACCATAAATGGTTGAACTATTGCTTGAATCCACAGGGCATTTAGGTTATTTCTTATATTTTGCTATCACAAACAATGCCGCAGCAGATAACCTTGTACATACTTCTTTGTGCACGTGTAGGATAAGTACGTTTGTAAAATAAATTCCTAGGAGTAGACCTTCTGGCTCAAAGTAAAAGGACTAAATCATGCTCAAATGCTAAGTTATTAAGAGAAAAAAAAAAAAGATTATCATTACAGCATTAAATCTTGCCTACATCTCTTCTGACTCAGCAAATCCACTCCTGGAAGGACACATTCCCCCAATATAAACAAAGGTAATATCTGGGTGGTGAGCTTACCAGCAATTTTAATTTTCTTCTTTCTGTCCTAAATATTGAATTACTATGAAGAAACCATGAGAATAACCCTCATGTTAACTTCATTTATAAGCCAAACTCATAGTAACAATTACTTCTCTCCAAGATTGCTCACCTGGTTATCAGCATAGCCCAGCAAAGCCTTCTGCTTCTTTTCATCTTTTTCATAAATTTTCATTCCCAGTAGATTAGACCAGTAGTTCAAGGACTTCTGAAGATCAGACACTGCTAGAGTTACTTTTAATACAGGATCTGTAGGGTAACGAAACAGCAGGAATGAACAGGGCAGTGCAAAGGAATGGAACAGAAGGACCCAAACAGGCTCAAGTATATATAAGAATTTAGTTTATAAGAAAGGGATTTTAAGTCAGTGTGAAAGGGCAGATTATTCAATAAAGATAAATGGCATTAAGATAACTGGCTTCCGCGGAGCAACTAAGCCCATGCACCACAACTACTGAGCCTACGTGCCACAACTACTGAAGCCTGCATGCCTAAAGCCCGTGCTCCGCAACAAGAGAAGCCACCACAATGAGAAGCCCGCGCACCGCAATGAAGAGCAGCCCCCGCTCGCTGCAACTAGAGAAAGCCCACGCACAGCAACAAAGACCCAACGCAGCCAAAAATAAATAAATAATTTTTTTTAAAAAAAAGATAACTGGCTTCTTATTTGGTGGGAAGAAGCTACACCTTTAAACTAAATGGCAAAATACATTCCTAATGAGTTAAAGGATTAAGTTTAAAGACTGAAACCATGAAAATACTAGAAATGGGTGATTATTTAAACAATTTTGGGGTGGAGAAAGCCTTTTTTTTATAAATAAGATTTTTAAAATATTTATTTTATCTATCATTAATTTATTTTGGCTGCGTTGGGTGTTTGCTGCTGTGTGCAGGCTTTCTCTAGCTGCGGTGAGCGGGGGCTACTCTTTGTTGCGGTGCACGGGCTTCTCACTGCGGTGGCTTCTCCTGTTGTGGAGCACGGGCTCTAGGTGTGAGGGCTTCAGTAGCTGTGGCGCACAGGCTCAGTAGCTGTGGCTCGCGGGCTCTAGAGCGCAGGCTCAGTAGTTGTGGCGCACGGGCTTAGTTGCTCCGCGGCATGTGGGATCTTCCCAGACCAGGACTCGAACCTGTGTTCCCTGCATTGGCAGGTGGATTCTTAACCACTGTGCCACCAGGGAAGCCCAGAAAGATCTTTTTTAATCTGACACTAAAGATAGAAAAACCATGAAGAAAAAAATGTGCTAGGTTAATTACATGAAATGGAAAACCCCTAGACAACAATCAAAAAAAGAATTACTATCAAAATTAAAGAATAAAACAAAGTAGGAAACATTTTTTTAACAACATATATATTTTATATGTTTAAAATATTTAAATATTAAAATATTTAAATATGTTAAAAATATTTAAATCACCTTTAAACATCATAGGCAAAAGATGCACGTCCTGGAAAAATAAGCAAAAGGCACGAAGCAGTAATCCACAAAAGGAGGAACTGGAACAGTCAATGAACATATGAATGCATGTTTGACCTCACAAAGAAATTAGAATTCAAATAAGGGGCTTCCCTGGTGGCGCAGTGGTTGAGAATCCGCCTGCCAATGCAGGGAAATGGGTTCGAGCCCTGGTCTGGGAAGACCCCACATGCCGCGGAGCAACTAGGCCTGTGAGCCACAACTACTGAGCCTGCGCGTCTGGAGCCTGTGCTCTGCAACAAGAGAGGCCACGACAGTAAGAGGCCCGCGCACCACGATGAAGAGTGGCCCCCACTCGCCACAACTAGAGAAAGCTCTCACACAGAAACGAAGACCCAACACGCCAAAAATAAATAAATAAATAAATAAATAGAATTCAAATAAAACATTTTGTTATCTAATTAGCAAATAATTTTAAAAGTTCACAGTGTTAACTGTTATAGTACAGGGGGAAAAACCCACAATCATGTAATAATGGCAGAGTGTAAATTAGTACGTTTCTGAGCAACAATTTGACAAAATGTATCTAAAAACCCTCCACTGCTTTTGAAAGAGCAATCCCATTTTCAGCAATTAAAGAAGTGACTGCGGATGTATTAAGGCCTTTTGTCACAAAGACATTCATCACAGTGTTGCTCATAACAACGAAACACCAGAGACAACATGAATATCTAACAACAGACAACTGTTTCTCTTCCTACAATGTCACACAATGGAATCCCATATATATTTAATTATATATTTATTTCTTTTGATAAAAGATTGGAAAGATATACTCTAAAATGTTAACAGGGACTACCCTGGTGGTGCAGTGGATAAGACTCTATGCTCCCAATGCAGGGGGCCTGGGTTCGATCCCTGGTCAGGGAACTAGATCCCACATGCATGCTGCAACTAAGACCCAGTGCAACCAAATAAATAAAATAAGTAAAATGTTAACAGTGGTTATCTGTTTTCTTCTTCCTTATTTTTGCATATCTGTGTGTCTAGGGGAAAAAAACATCTATTTTTTGGTAAAAAGAATAAAAGTTATATTAAAACACTTATCATTATTGGAAACTTTTATATTGTAAAGTGACTTTTTAAATTTGCATATTAATTCATTTAAAAATAATAAGAATATTACATTTTTTGTGTGAAAAATAACTTGTGTTTTCCAAAACAAGCAATGACAAGAACAGCATCATTTTACGTTTTTGTGAATCTCTTTAAGGTCTGGATTAGTAGAAGATAGCTGGATTCTTACATCTGCTTCTGTATCCTGTCTGTTGCAATATATTGTTTAGTTGAAGCATATGAAGAAGCTCCAGCTTCTGAGACATAAGTTGTTTGAGGAGTATCTTAAAAGTCTTTTTGGATAGTCTTTTTAGATATTATACTAAAATTTTTCTTTAAGGAGTTTGTAAAGTGACTTTCTGAAGAGCTGTTCCAAGTCTGTATCTGACTAGGATAAATTCAGTGCATTTTCCTTCAGTTTTCACTGCCTTAGTCCCGTTTTCTAGACAAGCAATACCATGGCTAAAGCAAGGTGTTTCTCACAGGTGCCTCTACCTGGCAGACTGTTTTAGTTTTCCCCATTCACTGAGACATCAACAAATTCCAGGTGATTCAGACCCTGAAGGGAAGTAGGGGCAGGAACAGTCATAGTGGGTGAAACTACACAGGAGTGATTCATTCAAAGAAGTATGGACACCAGGCTAGACTTATAGATTTGACTATATCACCAACCAGAAATTAATGCCCCAAAGGTATTATCATTCCAAAGAACAAAAACATCTTATGATGAATCTAGCGACCGTCATACAGAGTGAAGTAAGTCAGAAAGAGAAAAACAAATATCGTTTATTAACGCATATATGTGGAACCTAGAAAAATGGTACTGGTTTGCAGGGCAGAAATTGAGACACAGATGTAGAGAACAAACGTATGGACTCCGGGGGGGGAAAGTGGCGGGAGGTGGTGGTGGTGTGATGAACTGGGAGATTGGGATTGACATATATACACTAATATGTATAAAATGGATAACTAAAAAGAACCTGCTGTATAAAAAATAAATAAAATTCAAAAAACAAATAGTGACCAGTGCTTCCCTGGTGGCGCAGTGGTTGAGAGTCCGCCTGCCGATGCAAGGGACGTGGGTTTGTGCCCTGGTCCAGGAGGATCCCACGTGCCGCAGAGCGGCTGGGCCCGTGAGCCATGGCCGCTGGGCCTGCGCGCCCGGAGCCTGTGTTCTGCAACGGGAGAGGCCGCAGCAGTGAGAGGCCCGCGTACCGCAAAAAAAAAAAAAGAAAAAAAT